AAAATTAGCCCTTGCAGTGGTGCTACCCCTGCACTGCAAGGGTTGACTGCTGGTTGTTGTCTAGGGGCTGGAATACAGAAGATATACTCACCTGATCCTTGGTCCCACAGCAGTCAGTGCTCACCTCTCTCCTCCTCCACTCTGGCTGTGGTATGTCTTTCTGCGTCTCCACATCTAATGCAGGTGAATGGACCTGCAAAAGATGTGATGACATGTGATTTCCTCTGACTGGCAGTACTGCAAGGGAATATGGAGCTGGCTTCCCGGCCAATCAGAAAGCCATGCGGCAGGTAATGACTTGTAGTGGCTACTTTACAACACACACAGGTACCATGGGAAACAAACATAGTCATCCTCCAGAAGGAAGGACAGTGTCAGCACCAATTCAGAGATGATTTGATGATCTACAGCCGAGTGATACACAAATAAGCTACATTGTTAATAGTTCAGGTACTTGAATGCATTTCTAAGATTTAACTCCTGAGTTTAGTGTCACTTTAACAGGAGCTAAATAAATGAATTGCACATTGCTAATTATACAGTATGCCATCATAAAACAGTTAATAATATAATAATGATGTGATAGTCCTTATTTCAGAATGGCTTTCATATTAAAACTTCCTGTAGTTTACAAATCCTATCACTTCTGCACCTCTTTGTAGTAGAAGCACTATCTTAGGAAGAGCTAACGAAATGAGTTGAAAATTGTGCCATCATGAGATAGTCAGTGTTATATTGATGATGTGATGGTCCTTATTTCAGAATGGCTTTCATATTATAGCTTCCTGTAGTTTACAAATCCTATCACTTCTGCAACACTCTGTAGTAGAAGCACTATCTTAGAAGGAGCTAAAGAAATGATGTGATGGCCCTTATTTCAGAATGACTTCCACAGTAAAACTTCATGTAGTTTAAAAATCTCTCATGCAGCTCCCTGTAATAGAAGCACTATCTTAGGAAAAGCTAAAGAAATGAGTTGTACATTGCTAATTATACAGTGTGCCAGGGGCGGACTGACAATGCATGTGGCCCCCGGGCAATATGAGATTATGGGGCCCCCCTGTGCTCCGCCCATATACAAGCCCCACCCACAAGCCCCGCTCTTATATACATTCTGGTGTTACAGAAATTATTCACTAAAAGGTGGATTGCAGGGGAATTGGGAGGAGAATATTACAAATCTAGAACAATATATACAATTTGGAAAGCAAGCTAAATGGCAGAATTTTTTTGATTTGGCTATTTTGACCGAGCAAGACTGGAGCAAGGGTTTGAGCGCATATTGCAAGGGAGGTTTGCAAACCTCTGCCCCCCAGCTCCAGTATGTGCGGTAAGGTTACCCCATACTTCTCTTTTAATTTAAAGCCATATTTAAGCACTTATGTTATCTATCGCCAAAAAATACATTGAAAAAGTATAAGCTTAGCTCTGTTTTAAAAAAAGAGACTTTTACTTTACCTTCTACAATATTGGTTAGGAGGGAGGCAAAACAATATGGTGTAAGCCCGTGGTTCTCAACTGATGGGTTGTGACCCAAAAGTGGGTTGCGACCCCGTGTTCAGTGGCACGTTGCATGACTTCCACTTTTCTAGGTGAGATGCTCCTCTGCCTCCCCCATAGCGCAGCACTGTCAGTTCTCACACCAAGCAGCCATTCAAAATATGCTGCCTGGTGCCGAGTGTCAGCTTGAGGTGGGGTGGCCTAGAGGTATGGTCGCGAGGGAGCTTCATCCATACATGCATTGCTTACAGCTCCCTTGTGTGCCTGGAGTGACGTCACATTCTGGTTTCCGGCACCTCTACAGGGTGCGCAAGGGAGCTGTACAAGCAATGCAATGCAATTTTTGGGAGTGTGTATGTGTGTGTGAGAATGTCTGTGAGTGTGTGAGATTGTGTCTGTGATTGTGTGTCTGTCAGTGTTTTAATCACAAACTACCACGTAATCCCACCTACTCTTCGTTTTGATGCGGGAGGTACGTTGCGTTGCCATTCATTTGAAGTCTTCCAATTATTTTTACACCTGAGGTTTCCCTAAAAAAGTCCCATATTAGGGATCCTGCTGGGAGCTTCACTCTCTCTATCGGTCCTGAAGATCGCTATTACTGCGTCTAAAAGGAAGAGAAAATCCAAACTTTTGAGCTGCCACCAGAACAGGAAGTTGTGCAAAGGAAAAGTCTTCCAGTCATTGCAGTGACAACTGTCTAAGCCCTCATTCACACCTGAGTGATATCAAATATGCGCGTTTTGTGTACCACATTTGTGCACTTTTTTTTGCGCATTTTAATGCGTGCTTGACATGTGTGCATTAATTTGCATGTTTTTGTGAGCAGATTGTGAAACATTGATGTAAATGGAAAAACAGGCATTAACCACTTGAAGTCCGCAGTGTAGAGATCTGCTTCATCAGCTTCTTCTCTCTGGCAATAGCAGCGAGATGACTGACAGGGGAATGCGGAAGTGATGTATTACACATCCTTCTGCGTTCAGATGTCGGAGGGAGATCAGCAAGGAGGAAGATGCTAAACTCCCTCCCATCTTCCTCCTGACGCCCTTCCGAGCTGGTCCTGGGCCGCAGATGGGGCAGCGGAGCCTGGGATTGAAGAGGAGGGTGGGCGGCGGTGGGACGGCGGTACTGCGGGAGGGGGGGTGGCGTGCATGGCAGCACATACAATCGATCGGACGGCTATAGAGCCTCCGATCGCTTGTATGTGTAACAGCCGGTAGCGGCTGTTTACATTCAACTGTTTTTTTTTTCTGCCCATGCGTGCGAGCAGGAAAAAAAAGCTGTTTAAATACGGCAACCCGCCAATGGGCGTTTGCCGTCCGTCCATTTTTTTGCAATGAGCGGACGGCAAGCGGTTAAACACATGTAAAAACGTGCAAAAATGCACAAAACTGAAGTCTATGGGGCCAAGAAGTACAAAATCAGCCAAAAAGAACCTCATGTGCTTTTTTCCAGCTATAGATGTGAACATGGACATAGAAATGAATGGGGTTTTTTTGGGGGGCTTTTATGAGTATTTTTTCTGGCAGAAAAAGCACCACAAAATGCTTACTGTGAATGAAGGCTAAAAGACAATTTCCCTTATGGGCTAGTTCACACAAGCCCCAGTGCGTTCTGGCCCGATTCAGTGCTGGAACGTACTGGATCACATGCCAGCCGGTTCACTGCGTACTGGGGCGGGAGGGGACATGGCGGTGCATTGATGTCAATGGCACCGCAGCCACGCCCCCCCTCCCGGCCGCAATCCGATTGCCCACATCAGAAAACGTGGCATATCAATTCCTGTGTTTCGGTCCGATGCGATAAAAACACAATAGTACATGCAGCATTTTTTCTGATCGCACTGAACCGGAACACAGGCATTTATGTTCCACGCATTACGGTGCAGGCGTTCGCCCTGCACACCAAGGTGTGTGGCTGCGGTTTCGTTGACTTCAATGCACCGCCATGCCTCCTTAGGCCCCAGAACGCAGTGAGCCGGCCGGGATGCGATCCACTGCGTTCCAGCACCGAATCGCACTGGGGCTGGTGTGTGGCTGGAACGCACTGGGGCTGGTGTGAACTAGCCCTACTTCCTGTCTTGTCTGCAGGATGGAAAGTGAAGGGTAATCTCTCCAAGGAAATGCAAACAGCAAAAAAAAAAAAAAAAGAGCAATTTTAACTTTTTTTCTTTATTAAAAAGAAGAGTTTGGACTTTAGCTCTACGAACAACAACTGAACTCAAACACTGCAAATCATGTGAAATATTTCAGGTCAATCAATCACAGGCTAAAAACAGGACCACGGGCTCTGCCAGCCATTGAATATATCAAGTGCAGAACAACTGCTCATCATCATCATTATTATCCAGCAGTACCTGAATGTAGATGTTATGGTGGCTTTTCATGTGCTGGAAGAGCTGTGGGAGAACGTCAGACAGGTGTTCTCTGTTTCTGGTGCAGGGCTGAGATTTTGCAGGTCCAGGGACACTTCCTTCTATTCTGCCCCCATGGCCCCTTCACACGTTACAGACAAGCAGCATCCCCGGCATCCCTCTAGCTGTAGAGGCTCCTGACTCCTCCCCTCCCTCACACAGTGAGTGAGCTAGAGTAGGTCCAGAACGAGCTGTCTCTGCTACATGGTAGCAGAGGAGCCAGGCACTCAGAACTGAACAGCCGTGCCCTCAGCACCTCCGCGATTGGATAAAAGAGCAGCGGGGACTCAGTGACGGGCCCCGTCGCGGCCGCGGGCCCTCGGGCCCGAATGGTCAGTCCCCCTGCAGTGTGCCATCATGAAACACTCAGTAATATATTAATCATGTGATAGTCCTTACTTTATAATGGCTTTCATAGTAAAACTTCCTGTAGTTTACAAATCTTATCACTTCTGCACCTCTCTGTAGAAGAAGCACTTTCTTAGGAGGAGCTAGAGAAATGAGTTGCACCTTGTGCCATCACGAGGCAGTCAGTAATATATTAAACATGGGATAGTTCTTATTTCAGAATGACTTTCATATTAAAACTTCCTGTTGTTTACAAATCCTATCAGTTCCACAGCTCTATGTAGTAGAAGCGCTACCTTAGGAGGAGCTAATGGTAAGCAGCCGGCTGCACATGTAATCACTCTCTGGCTGTGCTCTCTTCCATTGCAGCCTTTGTCTCTGTAACTTGTTCTTCCAATCTCAGAACACTTTATTGCCCCACACACTAAGCACAGGAGAATTGGGAGAATTGATTGTGTATACACACAAGGGAATCCTGCACTTCTTAACTCTGTCTGACCCTTCCTATAAAATGTCACAAGCCACGCTGGAAACATGCTAGATGCTCCATTGTCATTCAAGCACAGCGGAGAACCCCCATCTGCCCGCATTCTCTCCACCCCCACAGCTGCTCCTGGCTGCTTCCTAGCACGAGCTGGGATTGCCCACTCCACTCCCAGCCTTTTCAATTATTGATTCCCCACCAATCTTCCCTCCCTGTTCATTTCATCTGTACGCCTTTACCTCCTGGGTTATCCACTACAAAAAGCTATGTGTGTGTGTGACTGAAAGACTTTGTTCCTTCTTTACTCTTATTCAGCACTGCAGCAGAATAGAACTGCAGCGTAAGATCCACCCAATGTTCTAGTCCTCCCTATTCGGTGGCCCTTTCAGCACTGAGATCGCGGACAGCTCCCTGTGCAGAGACTCCACAGCTGCTGCTGAGTGGAGAGCAGGCTGGACAGAGGTAAGTACACGGCCAGTGGAACTCTTTCACAACTGCTGCTGCTGTCACTTGCAAGGCTTGGGGCTTCCCCAGGCAATGAGTGCTGCCTTGCTAGGGACAACTTGGTAACTTTTTTTGCAGCTGTCATTTCCAACTGATTCCTTATAGCACTCTACCAAGTAATAATTATGTATTTTTAGTGTGTTTCATAGCATGATGAGTTAATATTTTATACTGCTTGCATGCATCTACTGTATCACTAATTCTCATTTGCCATGCAACTTATTTTGTAGTTTTTAGAACCTGATTGCATTGTGATGGAATTGGTGGACTGAAAGTGTTGGTTTTGCAAACATTCTAGGTTCTGCCACACATGTATATGCAGGTGATTGCAGAGTGGTCAGTAGTACACATATTGAATGATAAAGTTACATGCTATGTAAGCCCATCAGTTGGAAGAGGTCCAAATAATGAACAGCGATTTGTTTCTATGGCTTACTACATTTTGGTTGTTGCTTTTTTTTTTTTTGCCTTGCTGTCAGCTGCTCAGGAGATGATAACTTATTGCAGTAGTTGGCTCAAAGTGCAGGAGGCTTGCTGCAGAACTAGCATGTCTCCGCTCTTCACTGCCTCCATCAGCTGCAGTGCATCTTGCTCAAGGTCCCTCTGGCAATGAAGGGGTTAAACGAGACCTGCTGGTTCTGCGGAGTCTGAGTCATCCCCAAGAGCTGTCATTTGTCAAACAACTGCACAGTGAGCCAAATGCAGAGTGTCAGGGCAAGCAAAATCTCATTACCAGAATCAGTGTGCGTCAAAGGGTGCGCTGTGATTGATAGTAGTCGCTCTTCCCGCAAAGGTAATACTAGGCAGACTGGCTGGATCCAAACAATAAATTCATTCCACCCCCCCCCCCCCCCACCCCTTCTTAGTAGACAAGAACAGGATAATCTGCAGTGAACTGCAGTGCAGAGAGTTGAGTCTAACCAGGCACAAGAATACTATGGGGGTGTGTGTATGTGTGTGTGTGGTTCCTACATTGTACAATGGCACCATGTACTGTATTACTTAAGAAACTTGACAGTAGTAACTGATGTGCAATCATTCTAAATGTAAGGAAAGTTACATTTATCATTTTGTCACAGTGTAGCGGTTTCTCAGTTTAGACCACTGCCTCGCTCTCTGCAAAAATTAAGTTGGGAATGAGAAAAGCTAGTTTAGGAATTACAAGCTTTTTTATTTTTGCAAATTCTAAACATTCTCTTGCAAATACAATTGCGTAAAATATTTGCAGATTAGAAAAATGTTGCGTCAGCGCCCCTCTGGTATAAAAAGAGGTTGGGACCCCCTACTTTGAAGCAATGTACATTTTACGCAATGCTAACACCCAATCGGTTAAAGGGATTTTTTTAACAGCTCCCTTTCTTCCTATTTCACTCCCCCCAGCCCCCACCCCTTATTTTTTTAAATCTCCCATTGACCTGTGTGGATCATTGAATTAGATGCAGGTTTAGTAGTATGGCATCAAATAACATAATTAGAAAATTATCCTTTCAGTTGTTGATGGAGGAGAGAAAAGTTATGTTAAATCTATATTAAAGATATGTTACAATACTTTTATTTTTGCTACTCTGTAATTACTACATTGGAGCATTCTATTCTTTTTTTTTTCCTATCCACCACTCCATTTATATTTGATAACTAAAGTAATTCAGCAGATAATTATAAATAGCCATAGTAAATAAATAAAATGGGGTGTGTGTATGCGTGTGGTTCTTACATTGTAAAGAAATATAATAAAGACAAATAGCACATTTTTTGTGATGCTGAAGGGTAATCATAAAAAAATTCCTGCTTTCTATTTTAGCTATATTGGGAAACCCCGTATTGCCAGTTTTCACAGACTGGGTGTGCACTGGTTCCATCACATCTTATTATTACCAATTAGACTATTCACACACTGCTGTGTAATCTGCTCCTACTAAATGACTAGTTGACTGAGCTCTGCAGTATATTACACATGTGGTTTACTACTGAGAAAATAACAGCAGTCACAATACATTAAAGAAAAAAATCTTTCATCGTGAGCAGCATGATACAAGCATGCATTGTTCATTTTACATTATGAAACATTTATTTTAACTGATTGTATGTACACCTGTTGTTTGTGTAACAAGATAATACATGGATTGATTGGGATTGCTCAGGTGTGTTTGCTAAAGAGAATGCTCAGGTGCTAATTAGGGTTCATCTGAATATATAATTTCAGACGATCAATTTATGATAGTGCATATAGTAACATTTCAGTGGAGTCATACAGAAGAGCCAACACTATGACAGCACGTAAATCAATATCTATAGTACTGGGAATTAGGAATCATAAAGAAATATGTAACTTCTATACATTTTGAACCCCTGTTAATATACAAAGAATTATCCCTTTATAGGGTATATTCATATTTGATTTTACTACTATTCTGAAGGCATGACAATGCGGATACAATCATAGTTGCAAGCCCTGCCCTGTGGCAATAGTGTGCATTACGTCATTCATGGGAACATCAGACTACACAAAACCCTATTTGGATACAACAGATCTGTTTGCAAAGACAGAAAATCCTATATCCACAGACATTTATATTAATGAACCCCTTCAATTAGTCTGTTTTCAATCACATTGTCATATAATTTGGATGGAAGGTCCAGGAAAAACCCCAAAAAGGTTATATCTAATCCTGCAAGCCAAACAAATATACATGTCTGCTGTATATGCTTTTGGTATAGTATACTGTATACTGTAGGTGGGTGTGCTGTAGGATCATTTCGGTTGATGATAGCAAAAGATTTATTGGCCCATCTAGTCTTATGTTTGAATGTTAAAAATGTATACTGTCTATACTGTACATCTCTCCGTGATCGTGTACACCTGGTTGTACCGGTTTATGCGACATACCATCTATACAGCAATACTTGTCACATTATGTTATAGTATTTAATGCCTTTACTTCTTTTACTGAATTATGTTTGACGTATTTGATAGTGATGATGTACCTTAGGTAGCTAAGTAGCTTAGATCATAATCTCACATAAGGAACATTTATGCTTTTATTTTTCTGCGCAGCACTCTTATCTCTAATAATTTATGAAAATGGAAAGCTACTTTTCACATTTGAATTTCCGTGGGGAAGGTGTAAATGTGCTATTTGAAAGATGGTGGTGCTTACTGATCCCATATACAAATTCTGCTGTTACAAGTCAATGGCAATAATTTCTGAGTGTTCTCAAGGGAACTGAAGTGATATTTATTTCAAAGGGCCAGCCTGGTGCGCCATGGTTCCACCCCAGGGAATCTCGTTCTAACAAATACATTCCTGTGTGGTAGCAATGCAGCAATGCATTAGGCTAACATGTGTATGGAACTGTTTATGGTGCATTGGTTGTTGTGGGTTTCCATAACATCTGATCCAATGGGTGCTCAGCTGTAGTCTCCCTAGTACAATATGGATTATTGAAGTAGCTTAGTTATTTATTTTCTTTTTTTTGGGATAATCTTCATTTATGAACCTTTTTTTTCCCAGTGTTCTTTTTTTAATAAAATCATAAATACATAAATCTACTTGCAACTGAGCTGTGATTCTAAAGCTCGCAACACACAGGCCAAAATTATTACACTATAGAAATGGTTTTGGTGCAAATTTTTCCCCCCAACCTTACTCTTAAGCTAAGTCTAACCCATAAACTGCATCATTACAGTAACACCTAACCCACGAACCCTTACATTAACTAAGCCTAAGCCATACATTGATTGCTTACCGCCTTCTCTAACATGAACTTCTTGAAGAAAATTTTTTTTTAATTTCATTAAAAAAAAAATATAGTGTAATGTATTCTTAAATTCAGCTGCCATGAGTACCTAAACTTGACTTGGCATCGGCATCTTGGTACATCATACTTAGACTGGGAGAGAAAAGGACAGCATTTTAAATTTTTAGGAAAATGGGAAAGCAGTGGCTTGGCAATTTTCCTGATATGATCGCCCATGAACTGTTTAAGAAAGAGGCGTGTTTGCAATACTGCAAACAAAGGTGTTCACAGTACAAAGAAGAATATAACATAAAGCTCATGTGGTGGAAAATACCAGTTATATTACATAGGTGTTACTTCAAAACACAAAGGTAAATGTCTCAATAAGTTGAGTATTGTGTTTCATAATGTTTTGGAAATGTCAACTTTTTAAAACTTAGTGGAAGCTGATCATAAAACTTATTTAGCAGGTTCATTTATTCTCTGTCCTGTGATGAGTTCTTCATATCGATGTTGGGTCTACTCCTCACATGCTTATAACTGAATTATGAGAGATTGTCTATCCCCACAGAGTAGAGATACATCTGTCCCTTGCTCTATGTGCATAGAAGCAACTAGGGATGGGGAAGTTTTTGCTTTAGTTGAGGACATTTTGCTGAAATATTGCAGTAACTGTAAAATATATTGAAGTTCATAGGGAAAGCAAAATTAAGGTGGCTGTTAAGGGTGCAATGGGCTTTAAATTGCTGGGAACTGTAGTTGGGCCAAAAAGCACTAACCACAATGTTAGCAATGCCTAACGGTTTTGGGGTGGCATTGGGATACGCCCCTGATGGCCCCCCCCATCCTGCACATCCACAGATCCCCTCCCCCATGCTGCACACAGCCACAGATCTCCCATTGCACAGCCACAGACCCCCTATCCTGCACACAGCCACAGACCCCCATCCCATCCTGCACAGCTGAAGATTTCTTCCCCCCTCTTTTTCTTCACGGACCCAACCGGCGCTTAGGGCACTGGCTTGCTGCTCCGCCCTGCCTCCTCTGCACCTCCTCCTGGCAAGCCGCCCCAGCAAAGCTACGGGGACTGGACCCGCTCCGTCGCCTCCTCCTTGCCACCTCCTACGCACCTCCGCCTCCTCCTCGCAAGTCGCCCGAAAAAAAGCTACGGGACTGGACCCGCCTCCTCCTCCTTGCCGCCCCCTCGCCTTCTCCGTGAG